AAAAAATTACATATATTATATATTTTAGATATTAAAAAACCCATTAAAAATTTGAAAACACTCTACATACATTTTAACATGGAGCATGCTCGAATTTGTGCCTCCTCCACAATGGGCAAGGTTACAAACCAGTTGATCCACCGCACTTGTTCTGTCAAAGTACTACATAACATTATATTTATTCATTTGGAATGACCCGGCGGTTTGAACGGTTGAACCGGTTAAACCGGGAACCAGAGGTCAAAACGGTTTGACCTCCGGTTCGGTTTTTAAAACTTTGGTTTTTTCATTTTTTCTCTTTTAAGGGTTCGCTTTGTGGTTTTAATTTTTTCATCTTCTCTCACCTGCCTGTGGTGTTTCTCTCTCTCATCTCAATCGCACAATCTCTCGTCTTCACAGATTCGCCTCCTTCTCGATCCCCTAACTGTAAGTTTTCTCTGTTCCTTCAACCCTCGCTCGAATCTCAAACCCTACTTTTTTCTCTTTTTTGATTCTGTTCGTCGATCGTCATTCTTGTTTTCGAGATCTCCGGTTGTGGATTCGCAATCTCGATCAGTACGGGATTGGAAATCCGTCTAGAGTCTTGTTGTTCTGGTGCGTGGTTCTGGTTTCCTGTTCTGCATGTAGGCAATTATCGACTGGGTATTAGATTCCTCGATTATGACTGATGGATTTGTGAGAGATTTGATTAGGGAATCCTGAATTGTTGATCTGTGGCGAGGTTTGCCTGTTTTCTTTCTTTCTTTTTTTTCTTATGGAATTCTTGAGGTTTATACGATTCTTGGTGTGGTGGAGATGTTACTGTCATTTGACTCATCTATTTCACTGATTAGGACTTCTAGGCTTTGATTTGAGATGCGGTTCCTGTTCTTGCTGTACTGGTTGTGTTTCATAAAATTTTTCCAGTTTAATGATGTTTTTTTTCTTGTTCTGCTTCTAATATAACCAAAAGGTTTTCCAGTATTTTGAGCGTTCTATTGAAATCCACCAGTTGAGGTGTCCATAGAGTGATGCTGGTTGTGGAGTGCGGTGTTTGGTCTTATTATGGTTGGCTAATTTTATGTTCATCTATTGTGGTTTTTCGCAGGCAACCATGAGCGACCAGGGTGAAAAGACTTGTCCTCTGTGTGCGGAGGAGATGGATTTGACTGATCAGCAACTGAAGCCCTGCAAATGTGGCTACGAGGTTTTATGTTATTTCAATCATCTTATATTTTCTTGTACATGTCGTTATAATTGCAGCTGTGCATTTGACGTGATTGCATGACTGGTGTTATTTTAAGTGTGAGATTTCAATGCTAGCTGTTATTATGTATGCTTTGATTAGAAAATTTTCTTAGTAGACTCTTACAACTTGGAGTGTTGATTTGATTTTCTGAAAATTGAAACAAATGGGCTTGTGTTATATGGATGCTTGGCTGTACTGTAGGTAATAAATATATTAATGCTTTAGCTAAGTAATTGGTAAGGTCCTTTTGAACATTCACTTTTTGGTGCATTCTATAACATGTAAGATATTGTGTTTTTTTCTTTCCTTTTTGTTTTTGGATGAAATACACATGAAGTAGTTGAATTGATCTTGAATTCTTGATATGACAGATTTGTGTTTGGTGTTGGCATCACATAATGGATATGGCTGAGAAGGATGATACTGAGGGGCGATGTCCGGCATGTCGTTCCGCTTATGACAAAGAAAAGATCGTAGGGATGGCTGCAAGCTGTGAGAGGTTGGAATGCTTTCGGCAGTATATTTTAGTTTCCTGTGAAATAGGTGACAAACTTTACTATTCATTGTCTAATCCTTTTTTTATTATTCTTTCTGGATTTTTATGTAGATTGGTGGCTGAAGTCAACTTGGAGAGAAAAATGAAGTCTCAAAAGGCAAAAACGAAATCATCAGAAGGAAGGAAGCAGCTCAGCAGTGTGCGGGTGATCCAACGGAACCTTGTTTACATTGTTGGATTGCCTCTTAATCTTGCGGATGAAGATGTAATCTCTCTTACTCACTTCCCTCCTGAATGCTTCGTTGCCCTATTTTTTCTATTCACTTGGCCTGATCTTTTTTTATCTTTTTGGGCAGCTACTCCAGCACAGGGAATATTTTGGGCAATATGGGAAAGTGTTGAAAGTATCTATGTCTAGGACTGCAGCTGGAGTCATCCAACAATTTCCAAACAATACTTGTAGTGTGTAAGAATATTTCCATGTTATGTGGCCTAGAGAATTAGTGATACCTTTAAGGTGTTTTACGGCATGCCATCATGATCCTGAGATAGAAAGCATAACTTATTATGGTTAGATATTTTGAAAAAAATTTCAGTCTTGATTATAGCTCTGAAACAGATTACTGCCCTTTTAGTGAATCTCTTTGTTTCAATATCACTGACAAGGGTCTCAATTTCCACTCGTGTGGTAATCATCTTTTCAGATATATTACTTACTCAAAAGAAGAGGAGGCAATTCGTTGTATTCAGTCCGTACATGGGTTTGTCTTGGAGGGTAGATCATTAAAGTATGTATATGTTTGTATTAAGTGAATCTGTTTTTTTTTTTTTTTTAAAGTTCTCCAGTATAATGTTTATGAACACTCTAAAGCTTGAAACCTTCATTCCAGGGCTTGCTTTGGCACCACAAAGTATTGTCATGCATGGCTAAGAAATGTGGTATGTTCTAAGTGAAGGGTTTTTTCTTCCTTTTAATGTTCTGGAAGGAATTTATTTGTTTCTTATTTGTGAATATATTATTTAATATGATGTAATCAAGGTTGATTTTATCTCTGGTCCAGCCTTGCACCAATCCTGACTGTCTCTATTTGCATGAGATTGGTTCTCAAGAGGATAGTTTCACAAAAGATGAGATTATATCAGCATATACAAGGTACATTTGTTTGTCTTGGATTTCTTAGCTATATATTTGACATCCTTTGTTTGAGATCTTGTAGGGCTCCACGTTTGGGAATTAATGGCGAATTAACCTGAAAATGCTTTCTTTTATTTACTTCTTAAACTATTATTGTCTCATTCTTGAAACTTTGACAACTGTTGCTGCCATTTTGACCCTAGTATGCTAATTTGATTGAATATATATATATATATATATTTTTTGATTTTTTGAGGATATGCAATATAAAACAGAAAATTTTAATATAATGCCCATAATATGTGCATAAAATCCAATTTGGACATGTATGTCTTGAGCCAAATTAACTGACTGTAAGTTGAAAAAAATAAAAATGATATATACCCAAGGATGAATCAAAAGTGCCTATTGCTAATTGGTTTTTTTTTTTCTGGCCAAATTGCTAATTGATTAATAGTAACATTTTGGTCTCCAAAAGGAAAAAAGGTTTTAATTTAAATGTTTGGAGTTGTTTGAAATATGACCAAGTTGTGCAAGGATGCATGAGTCATAGACTCATAGTAATGACGTTATTTATTGATTTCAATTGTAATTTTTTTTGTATATAAAGTGCTGTCTTTTACTGGATGATTAATTAACTTACATAGTGGTTTGTAGGAGTAGAGTCCAGCAAGTTACTGGTGCAACAAACAATATGCAACGATGCACAGGAAATGTGCTACCTCCACCAGTGGATGACTATTGCCCGACCAGTTCTGCCTCTACTGCAAGACCTATTGCCAAAAATGCTGCAAATGTAAGTTCCGTGGACATGCAGGTCCCTGACCCAGTAGCTTGACCAATGCATAACTACTTGATAAATACTGCATCTAATATTGCTTCTGGTTTTGTTTTATATGTTTATGAATGTTTCAGAATACAGCAACTAGCATCACTAAAGGTTCCCCTCCAAATGGAAGTTCTGGTAGATCTATGGGTCTTCCTGCTGGCGCATCATGGTATGGCATTTACCTTTTCCTTTTCATTCAATGTCAGTTCTTCTCCTAATATTTCTGAACACTTGTTGCAGGGGAATGCGTGCTTCAAACCAGCTTCCACTTGCAGGTTTAGCATGTTCAAATGGACCCTCCAAGCAAAATTCTGATTCAATAAGTGGCACTCTGGCATTTTCATCAGCAGTTACAAACACACCACAGGTTTCTATGTTGCATAGTGATACTATACATATGAAGGGTAAACCTGATTCATTAAAACCTTTGAACCCAAATGCTGGTTTAAATTGTCAAACCACTGCATTAGAGAAACCAGCTGCACCTGATGCGGCTTCTGCTGCTAAACCTTTGAGCAGTAAATTATCTTTTCCTCCACAATCCAACTATAATGACCAAGTTACTAGCGTGCCTTTGGGTGTTATAAGCTCCTCATTTGATCCTTCAGTGCAATCTTGTCTTTCTGCTGGTGAAAAAGAGGGTAATATTACAACAGATGGGAGGATACAGAACTTGTCCTCTGACATATCATTGTTGAAAATAGATGGGAATGCCTCAAATAAACATCCTGGCATGATTAGGCCAAGCAGTTCAGATTCTGATCACGGATTAACCAAAACACCTGGTAATCAAGGGTTAGAACAATCTTACACTGAACACTATCAAGAATCAATAAGTTCACCAGTAACTGGGAGATCCATGACAACATTGAATGGGGTTAGTGTTTCAAGAGACCAGCCTGATTGGGGAACAGATTCACGAACTCAAGCCGTGATAAATACAACTTCTGAAGTGGAGGATGATATTTTGTCTTTTGATAATCAGAGACTCAACGATCCGGAAGTTGTTAATCGATCTACTTATTTGCCAAATTCAGCAAGTCCATTCCATTCAACAAATCATTCTAGGTCTCATTCCTTGCAAAATAATGAACCTTTTAATTCAGTTAATTTGAATGTGGATAACATGTTTGTAGATAATAAACTGAGCGACAGTTCCCTTCTTCATGGATCTACTCTGTCCTCAATATCAAATGGGTACCTTGACAAGCTCCTTAGCAGTACTATCGATTCTGATGTTTCTGGAGAAGGTTCCTTTTTGCTTTCAAATGAATTGAAAGGTAGGCAGATGGGATGGTTATTTGGTAATGCAGACCGTAATACTGCTGAGGATACAGGAGAGAGCAGCATAATCTCAAATATATTGTCACTCGATTTTGATACATGGGATGAGCCCCTAACATCATCCCAGAATTTGGCTAAGTTGCTGGGTGACACAGATGAGCCTACTTCACTCAAGTTATCAAGTCCGTGGAAAGTTCAGAATAACAGCCAGTCTAGATTCTCTTTTGCAAGACAAGAGGATTCTAAATATCAGTCATTTGATGTGGAGCCCTCATTAAGTGTTTCTGGACAGATGGCAAAAAGTCATTCTTTCAGCCAAGAATTTTCTGAAAACCGAGATCTGTATCTAGATAAGCTAGGCGTTCGTCATGGTTTATCTTCAAATAATTTTGAGGAGTCTAACAGTTTTACTGGCAGTTCTTCAGTTTTCTCATCTAATAAGCTTCCTGGTGAGTTAAGTCTTCTTTTCAGTTACTGTTGTGCTCTTTTAATGTTTTTTTTTACTAAACCTAAGCTCTATTATTTTTACATGGATGTAGAAATTTAGTCTTCAGTGGTAACCCTCATGGTCACAATCATATCATGTGCTTTTGTGCTTTAAGTTTTATGTTGAATTGATTATTGCTGTAAGGTATGTTTATAATTTAACATTTACACTTCAAATAATTTCAGTTCTTTCATCCCTTTTTTTGTTTCCCTCTTTTTTTTTCTTTTTTTTTTTTCTTTTTTGGTCTTGGTCAGCCCATATTAGATTTTGGTTTCTTTCCCTTCTTGTTGTCCTCCTGTAGCAACTGAATCTGGCATGTTTGTTCAGATTATCAAGATTCAGTGTGGTAGTTTGCTCCTTTCATTTGCCTTTCTATCTAAATATTAGAAAGATGTAAGATGCTTCCTATCATATATCATATATCATGGGCTATGACATGTTATTGATTATAACCTAGGTCTTTTTCTAGATATTTTTCAAGTTTACTTTGTTTCTTGTATTTCATACTCAATTTTGCTTTGAAAATATTATTTCCAGCAATATCTAGAGCTCAAATTTCTGCTCCACCTGGATTCTCTGTCCCTAGCAGAGCACCACCCCCCGGCTTCTCTTCTCAGGAGAGGGTAGACCAGTCTTTTGACAGTACAACTGGTAAGTTATTAAGTTTCTCCTTGTCTTTTAAAGGGTGAGCACTAATTCTTTTGCATTGTTGCAGGAAATCATTTGCTGGACTCTTCCTCTCTTTTGAGAAATTCATATCAGGCACCCCCAAGCGATAACATTGGTACTGCTGGGGATATTGTATTCAAGGATCCTGCAATTTTGGCAGTTGGTAAAGGGAGACTTCAAGGAGGGCTTAACAACACAGGGTTAGACATGAGATCAAATTTTCCATCACAGTTAAACTCCTTTGAAAATGAGGCAAGACGTCAACTATGGATGCAGAGATCTCTCAATACACAACAGAACCTGAGATATGCTGACTTTGGGGATAGCTTTTCTTCCCTTAATGACTCCTATGGGATTTCATCTAGGCTAATAGATCAAGCACAGGTGAATAATGTGTCCCCATTTGCACAGTTGTCTCTCCAACATCCAAGGAATTCTCATATGTCAAATGGTCACTGGGATGGCTGGAATGAGGTTCAGGGAGGAAGCAATATGGGTATAGCAGAGCTTCTCAGAAATGAGAGGCTGGGATTTAACAAGTTCTATACTGGTTATGATGATCCAAAATTCAGGATGCCTAGTTCAGGTGATCTATATAACAGAACATTTGGGATGTGAAGTGGTGTTAAAAGGCTACTGTTTCACTGGAAAGGACTGCACTGAAGAGGCACAAGAGATACTTGCAATATGTTTGCTTTGTTCACGAGACTAAGATGGCTCATGGTTGGTCTCGCTGAGTGGCCTTATGAAGATTAAGCTCTTGACAAATGGGGCTGAAAAATGGGATCTCCAAACCAGCAGGTAAGGTTGAAATATGTGACTTTGAGATGCTCTGTCTGTCTTCGTTAAACCTTCTGCTACAGTTGCTAATCATATCTTCTTTTTTTTGGGGTGGGGGAAGAGGTGGTTGGTTTTCAATTTTGGTTTCGAAGTTTTTGTTCTTTTTTCATTTGTTTCTTTGTACGTAGAGAGTCTTTATATACACTTTATGGGCTTTTTCTGTTTGAGGAGGATGCTTCTATTATGGTGTATATGTTATGTTTATGCTATCTGTTTAATTGATTTTCATAATCTTGCGCTGCAGGTCAAGTAAAGCTCCTACCGTATCTGTTTATGTTTACCTCCCAAGTGCTGAATGCGATCCAACCCAGCAGATTGATCTTCCTGGTGCTGCTATGTGCTCACATTCTTGCTCTAACAACTAATAGTTGAAATTGGAACACATTTTTTTACGCCCTTCTACCCCTTCCCTATATTGGAAATATCATGCATATTTATGCCCCTCCTCATTTTTTTAGTCAGGGTAAGTTAATTGCAATAGTGCAATAGTAAGATGTAAATGGCGGACTAGAAAAACCTTCGCCCAATATCATGTCCCTATTTGGTCTACCTCCCAACTTTTGCCGAAGTGCTGTCTGTTTAAACCCACTTGTAAAAATACTGTTTGAGTAGACTTTTTATAAAGGAAAATGTGTTATGCAATTTAGAATTATTGAGATGGGGTGGTTCCATAATATTCCGATCTGTTTTTCTATTCAATTGTTTTCTAGTTTGAATTAAAAAATAAAAAATTTTTGTAGAGGCTACGAAATGAGATTTTTATAGAAGCATTGAATCATAAATTTATATAATATAAAACGACTAAAGTTCTTTGAAATTGATAAAAATGATATATTTAAAAGTTTGGCATTAAAAATTTTATTCTAGAAGCAACAGGTCTAAAGTTGAACATGGATTTAGGAATTCAAGGGCCTTTTAATTATGTTTGGTTTTTAACTCAATTTTGTATTAGTAATGTAGTAATAAAGATGTTTCTTGAGAAGTTGGAGTAAAGAGACACATTGTAATACTTTGAAGCTATTCAGATCTGTGGGAGTTCTAACTTCTCATCCTCTTGATATCGGCTTAAGGGAATTGATGCAGTTGGGTTAACTTTATTTGGGCTAAGTTATTAGTTAAGGTCTATTCTACTTCGGGGTGTAGTGAAACCATATCTGCTCCCATTTGGCTGCTTCTCCTTCACTCAAAAAGCAGCATTTAGCCATCTCTCTAGACTTCAATTATTTCAGGATATAATTTTTTCCTCTTTTTTTTTTCTTAATTTTTTCTAATATGATGATGTGGGATTGTCCAAACTAATCTTGTGCGTAGATATATTAATCAATTTTTTTTAATAATAAATATAAAATTCTTCTTGTGTTATTATTGAACACGAAGTTGTTTGAAAACGAGATCGTCAATTCAGAATTATCATTAACTTAAAGTTGTTGGGCTTTGTCTTTGGATGCAATTCTCTTGACTTATGAAAATCCTATGAGTACTGATCTTCCGCCCATTTTCACTTTTCCAACTAGTGAATTTTCTTTTTCTTCTTGTAATTTTTTTTTTATTAACTTTTCGGTATTCAATAACCACATTGAATTTTAATTAATTCGAAATCGAGTCACATTAGACCCCATTAGGAGAGAAACTTTTCTAACGCCTGTTTCTTTATTCACAATACTCGAACTCAAGATTTTATTTAAGGAAAACCGAGTTTTTTCCACTCAAACTAATAAGTTGTTGGTTTTTTTTTTTCCCTTTTTTTTTTTTCGTTTTTGTAACTCGAAGAAATAGCTGCATAAAATATAAGAGGTCACGGGGGAGAAATTGGGGCAGAAAGGAACAGATGCTAAGCGAGCATGAGCTTTTAATAGACCACAGTTATCATTGTTCTCCAGCAGCATTTATTTGCATTGAAGATGAGGGAGTGGGCTGAATTTATGAATTGAAATCCAGAAGATAAACTAATAATAAGAAAAATATAATAATGGTAGAGGAAGGATCCACCAAAGACTTTTATGCAAGTAGGACCTTCCTTGTAATAATATATAATATCTTTTAGAAATAGAAAATGTGTCAGCTAGATAAAAATAAGTATATCTAGTGCTCCCCTTGTTTAAAAATATAAGTTATTTAATTTTTTATATGTAATTTTAAGTAATAATTTTTTATAATATATAAATAATAATTAAAATTTTTATGTAATTTTTACTAAGTGGTTTCATTTAATAAAAAATTAATTATCATTCATATACTATAAAAAAATATAACAAAAATACATTAAAAATCAGATAATTTATATTTTAAAATAAATGAAATATACAAATAATTTTTTACATTGCTCACTTACTGTAAATTTTAGATCCTTAAACGAGTGGGACTTAATATGAGTTCTACCATCCAAAGGCACAACTAAAAGAAACAAGAGGTAGGATTATATTCTTTATACATTTAACTTTTGTTAACAGTTTAGGGTAGTTTTGAGCAGGCCATTCACACTAAACTAAAAAATTAAATTTATGACAAATTACTGCTTAAGTTATCTTTGAAAAAAAATCCAATGTTAATTAAAGATGGAAGAGCAAAACCACCTTACAAACTAGACAAAATCTTAGATTAAGCCCTTGGACTTATTTCAAATTTCTCAATTAAGTCTTTAAATTTTTTTTGAAACACATAAACTCTTAAATTTGGTGATTTGAATAATTTAATCTTTTTATTTATACCAAACATAATGTTTGTTTATACCTTATTTGTGTAGATAAGGTTAGTACCCACCACATAAATAATGACATATCAATACATTATCCATGCAAATGAAATATAAATGAGTATTGAATCTACCATAAAGAAAGAATATTAAATTGCCTAAATTTCTAAATTCGAGAACTTATTTACTTCAATAAAAATTTAAAAACTTAATTAAGAATCTAAAATAAATTCAAGGACTTAACCTATAGTTTTGCCTACAAAATAAACCATCATCCCTTAAGTTGATTACATTACTCTATTCCTTAAGTTGATTACATTTATTTTAATATTCTAAGCATCTAGAAAGGCTTTTTCTTTTTTCCCACAGCATCTAATAAGCTGGGAACATATTTTTCCAAACAGTTTGGGATTGGGTGTCTCATTAGCTTCCACACATTAAATTATTATTTTAACATGGAATAAATGAAAATATATATATATCCAAGTCAAGAGACCCACCATCCACAAAAGCCCCAATTCTAGCACCAAACCAAATGAAATTAGTGGGGACAATTTGTTGGTACTACAAAAGACAGAGAGTGAAGAAGCATATCCTACTGGGCTTGGGCCCACCACGTGTTCTTGAAAGTTGTAACCCAGTAAGATCTATCCAATAATGAGTTTAGTGGAATGGAAAGAGAAAAAAAAAGTGGGGGTTATTTTCATAGTAGTATGAAAAAGAGGCATGTTTTAGGAGGAATGTCATTATATGGACAACTTGAGTTGAGTTACTTTTTGGAACCTTGGTGACACAAAAAGTCAGTAAAGAAGAAAATTCATAAAAGAACATAGTGATTGGTGTAGGAGTTTAGTACTACTACTAATAGTAGTGGGTAAATAATACCTTTTACCAATAGTCATATTAATTATGGTTTACTTCTTTCCTTTTTTTTTAATTTTTTATTCTCTTTAGTTTATCAAAAGCTCACCACTCACCACTACAATTTTTTTATTGAAGGTTATGAATTTTTTAAAGTTGATGTGTAAGAAAAAATATAAAAATGCCTAATGCGGTCATTTTTACAATTATTTTTTTTACAAATTTTCTTGAAAAACAACTTTTTTTTTTATTTTTTACATTTTTATTAATCACTACATTTTTTTTTAATGGTTGGTTTGAAAAAGAATTATTCGGCCCTTATCTCCACGGTGGGTGGAGTCAACTTTTGGAGAGATTGAGGAACCTTCATCCCATTTTGTTATATTCATTCATACAAAACAATATACTACATTTTTTTTTTTATAAAATGTATTATTTTATAATTTTTTAAATAATTAATTATAATATATAAAAATAATAAATTATATAAATTAAGATTAATATATAATAAAATAAATATGAATTATTTTTAATAATTAAATAAAACAACAATAATAATAAATTGTGTAGCAAAAATCAAGCGAGGACTAAGTAAGTAAGAAGGAGGATAAAGAAATGTTATTAAGATTGATTTGACGAAACAGAGGAACCCAGGAACAGTAAAGATCAAAGGATTTTTATTTTGATTTGATGTGAAAAGAGGCATTGTACTTTGTAGCTCCTCAAAGGGGGATGGAGGGCTTACGTGGTTCTTTCTCTCCCCAATCACTCTGCATCCAAAATACAATATTTAATTTCGTAATAATAATACCAATAAAATAAAATAATAGAGAGTATAGACATTTAATATTCATCAATGAGAATTGAGAAGATCTCCAGGCTGAAATTGGAAAAAAAAAAAGGACCCAAATCCTGCAAAAAGATATCATGGCCAACTTGCCCATTTGAAAGAAGCAACAAACCCTTAATGAGATTGGTTCTTTATCCCACTAGAAAAGCATTTATTTATGTACCCATCTCCACCCGCCACCCCACCCCACCCCACCTATAAAATTAAAATTTATGTTTTGAATGAAATCCAGCTGCACACCTTGTTGTGCAACTTCTCACTTTTTGCATTGAGCACTGGTACAGTACATGAGTATGAATTGGCTCTTAAGATTGAAGTCACCTATGTTAAGGTCATTTAATATTGTCTTTAAAAGTTAATTTTATTTAATTTAGTTGTTAAAAATAACCAAAAAAATTAATAAAATAAATAATATTTATTACTTAATAAATTAAACTCAACTTAAAAATTAATATTTCCAAACATTATAAGCAATTTATGTAGCAACATATTCATGTCTGCCTTGAGCACACCTTGGATTGGCAAAGGTTTACGAACAAGTATACATTTTGTAGTTTGAGGGCTGTGGGGACCTTAGGGGGAAAACCCCAAATGCAGACAATATTATCGTCAACAAAGATGAAATGACACACAAAAGAGACAAGTTAGTTGTGGTGATCTCCACCTCAAAGGTTTAAACACACATCATATTTTAGGAAGTTGAGATCCAACACCTTTATTCCATATAATGTCAGCCAAGTATGGGATTAGGATTTTTCTTCATATATCAACATAAGTATAATTTTCCAGTTAACAAAAACAAACATTTTTTACTTGTACCAATCAACACTTGGAATCATAACTGATTCAATTGCAGCTGAAGCTATTGTTTCTTTTGCACCAACAATAAGATGAGAGATAGGGCTATGGCGGTGCATGTGGTGGTCTGAGCTGATAATAGATTTCAGGGTTGTTGGCGACAGCCGTAGCAGGCGGAGCAAAACAGAGATTATGGTTCGCTGTTGGGTTGAGTGGTTTTGTTGGAAGGGTGGCAGCAGAAGGAAGTGTAGCCGCAAATGAGAATCCTGATGATGCTGCAGTTGAGAACAGTGGCATTGAGGTAGCGGTGACCTGACCATTCATTTGCCATCCCCATTCAGGGAGACCTTGGGAAGAACCTAAATCAATCTTTTTTATCGTTTCCCTTTCCTGCCAATCAATTCAAAACATGGCTCATGTTACTAATCAATTGAGTAGTCCATGCAATTCATAAGCAAGAGAATCATCATATTTTTGCAAAAGCTGAAATCAAGTTATATTAATATATGCAACATTCAATAAAATATCATGTCATCACGATTCATGCTTTACATTTCTTTACTCAATCTTTTGAAAATATATCTACTGGAACGTTTAAGCATGGTAGCCATTGCTAATGTAAATAGAAAATGTCTGTGCCGTCAAAGTGGTGTACCATTTCACACAAAGAATCAAAAGGGTTAAACAAAGTTAAAAGATCTAGAAGCAAAGTCACGAGGCTCACCTCACTGGAGAAAAAACTAGGATATACACCAGTCCAGAAATTAGGCTGATCTGTAGTCTTCACTGATCCATTGAAGGGCATACCACCCAATGTAGCCACAGCAGGGTTCTGTGTTTGCAAAAGCGGATCAGATCAAACCAGAGACTATTAATAGCTTCTATAAACTAAAACAGGGAAGATATTTATTTCAAGGTCATTCAGTATGAAACTAAAAGTGCAGCACATTTTTAGTAATTTATAGTTAGAGCCTAGTAATGTCTTTCTGCAATTACATAAACAGAAGGCAAAGTAAGACAGAATAAGTTCAATCAAGAAAATTACCATCAAACTCCTTCCACCTTCCACATCATAAGGGCGGGAATGAAACTGGAGATGTCCCTCATTTTCCTTGGGACCACTGCGAACTGGTGGAGAAATCCCCAAGTTAAGATCAAGGTCGTGATTATTGCCTGCATAAAAAAGCATTCGAACAGATGATAACAGGAGCAATATTGCATAAGCTTTTTAAGAAGGCAATGACAATTAAAAAAGAAAATTATATAGTAGATGAAGTTATCATGAGTTGCAACCATGCGTTAATACCTTCACTACTGGCCTCAAAAGTCATCTCCCCTTCGTATGTTCTAGGCTCAAAGTTGGTGACTGCCTCCCTTCCGTTACATTTGATAGCTGCCTTGTCATAAGCCCTGATTTCCAGAAAAATCAAAAGGTAGACTAGTGTTGGATGGAACCTTATTGAGGTTGAGAATTCAGGGTAATAAATTCATATCAGGTAGAGTGTAATTCATGATGATTTGGACCTTGCAGCTTCTACTTCACTGTCGAATAGCCCAAGATAAATATACCTGCACGCAAGCATCGTAATCTCCACGATGAAACACCATCCCCAATCATTTCTTCTTTGAAATAGGCATCTTAGAATTGATTTTCCATTGAAACTAATTTGAAACTAATTCTCAGATGACAATCAAAAGGCACTCAAACTCCATATTTTTGCATGATAATGTTAAAACAGAATTAAAGTGGTTGCTCACTTTTTGCCAAGGAATTGTCCCATTCGTGCTTCCCATCTGCCACATTTGTGCAGTGTCACCCCTCGATATTTCGAGCTCCCCCTTGAGAAACCAGTACTTTGGCGACGGAGAATGTGCACGAATTCTTCTTTGCCTAGATTCTTCATCTGCCCATTGACAAAATGTAAGCCACCACTTCAAACAAATGAATTTTAGCTATACATTACCATACCATGTATATAACCAACCTGTTTCATCTCCTCCTCATAATCACTCAGATTGAAGTTGATATCAGCATCAACACCCCTGAACTTAATAGCAGCTCGATCATAGGCTCTGACCATAAAAGATCGCCGTGTATTAGGGGGTGAAAAAAAGTCAAAGACAAATTTATCCAAATTTACAACAGCTTGAAATAAAGCAAATTTCCAAATATTTACCTAGCAGCAGCATGCGCAGTGTCGAATCCACCTAAATAAACGCACACAAAGATTAATTTAAAACATCCCTAAAATAGAAGTAACGAAAATTATGTTTACAAGTTCCCCATTCAATAAAAAATCAATCACATATCCATACCCAAATAGACTTGTTTCCCACAATCCCTGCAAAACAAAAATTAAAAGAAAAAAGGGAAATATTAATCAAACCACTTAAATGAATTTATAAAGAACATTCTGACCAGATCATTAGCTTACAATCCGTATTCAATGACGAAAATATCTAATACAGTGCATGAAAGCGATTTGCAACTTAATGACATCCGTATTCAATGAAGATTAATTTCAACGAATTTGGCAAAGAAATCAAATGAATTCAAAGTTAAATCAAATCAATATATTACACACCCATAAAAACCTAATAAAATTCAGTCCAACCGTATAGACCCAAGAAATTCAACTATTGAATCCGGACTCCCATTCAAAATTCTACAACCGGTAAAAAAATAATCGGAAAATTCAAAGATAAACACTCACCATATATGCGATTCCCATCTCCCAGTCCTCCTATAGAAAGTAACTCCTCTATACTGCGAGCTCCTTGACCTGGGCCCTCGCCTGCTTTTCTTAACCTGCTGCTGTTGCTGTGCTAGTTGATGCATCGCCCGCACCTCGCTGGTTTCCTTTTTCTCGAACGACAGATCGATCCGCTTGTTTCCGGAGCTCTGCCCCTCGGAAACCATAAAATCGCCTCCAACTCCGCCCACCGGGAAGAGCTCTCTCGTCACCACGGCATCGCTGTTCTCACCACCACTCCCAATCTTCAGTACATCGAAAAAGAAAGTGGAGGCGTCACCACAGGCGCGTGCTGAGGAAGACTCCTCGTCGTCGTTGACGATTGAGGAATTTGACGTTCCGGATTCGTCCATTTGGTTCCCAGAACCTTCCGCAAGCTTACTGGCAAAGCCCGCTCCCGAGTCAGAGTCCTGAGTGGACTCGGCCGAGACGACATTGAGGTTAAGATCTAGCATCTCGTCTCAACTCTCGTCGAATTCAGCTAATTCACCAACTCTCTAGCTTCAAAAACACAAGTACCGATTGATGTTACCTCCGGCGAAGATCGATCCAATCAGCAATACTATTCACCAAAAACCATACAAACACCAGAGCTAAGAACTTGCAGCAATGAAAACGCAACAAAAAATAATAATAAAAAAACACACACACATATATATAAAAAGAGCTTCGAGGTTTTTTTTTTTTTTTTTTTTTTTGAAGAACAAAGAGAAATAGCAAAAAACAGAAGCTAATATTCCTCTCCGTCTCCGGAACCAACAGAGAGAGAGCTCGCGGCGACCGGAGCAGGAGGAGGAGGAGGAAAAGCCAGCCAGACGAAATACGACGCCGTTCAAGAATCGAGTAGAAGGGAAGGAGATTCGCATTACCAAGGCACTCGAGGAAAATCAGTTCAAAGTCGGCGGCGGAGAGAAACGAACGGCCGCCGGATAACTGATTCGATGGAAGAAGAAGAAGAAGAAGAAGAAGAAGGGAAAAAATAGGGGAGAGGAGAGATGGGACGTGAGAGGGATCATTGCAGAGCCATTTTGGCTATGAGGGGGTAATGAATATACCGATAATAAATATATATAAACATTTTTTTCTCTCCTGTGGATACCGGTTTGGCCGGTCACCGGTTGGTGATGTTGTCAGGAGATTTTTCGCTTGCTTTTGGGGTTATGTGCAAAGACCTATCAAACAATATTGTATTACCATGTATGTATGTGCATTAATTATATATATATATATATAGATATTAAGTGAATGGTTCATACTTCATAGACATCATATATGTGCATGCATGAGAGTTGTTATATTTTAACCGTGTTGAACGATAATATAAAATAA